GTGAGGAAACATTCCAAAAAGAGGAGATAGGGAAGCATAGGGCAGATACATAGACTTCTCACAGTCTCAGTGATGGGAAGTAATTTGGACCATGTAATGGAAACAGGTGGCAGCAAGGAGCTCTTTAGAGAGAAGTCCAGTATCTTTATCATGGCAAGGTTCCCCACCTCTAACGGAATTAAGGCCATAGCCTTGCTCCCTGTGGCAAGTATCCCTACCAATGATCCCAAGTCAGCTGGGTGGATTTTTGTCAGCTTTGATAATTAATGTTAACATCTTCTCTGAAAAATGTTCAGAGTGGTCACTTCAACTCCATTGCCACCTACTCAATCAGGCCACTATCTCTTCATCTGTGGTTCATATCTGGATTAATAGGTCTGTTTTTCTTCTTCAATTTATCTCTTCTAGAGATACTAGAACAATCTCCCTTAAAAACCTGGTAATACACCGTTCTAATGCTCAAGAACTAGACTTCCTTTTTCCGCTATAGCAAACCTATATGCTGTGACCGACCTTCTCGGCTCTTCGCTCTTGTGACCACTATCATGCCTGTTCCCCACCACGTCTCTAATATGCTTTTCCCACTTCTGCAACTTGGTTTCATGATTGGGAATCTTGGACTCAGAGCACACTCTAAAGTTAAAAGCAACTTTTAGGAAGGCATAAAATTCAGCAGTCCAAAACTAGCAAAAAACCCCCGAAAAACAAAAAACCCTCCTTCTACGTTAAGATGTTTACAAAGATAGAACTTTGGCTGCACCTAGACCATATTTTCCTAGTTCACTGATGATGTATCCTTCAGTATATAGTATATAAGTCAAAATTGCCATCTATTGTTTCTTCTGATGATCTAGTTCTAGGATTTTGCCCAGACAAAATTTGATTGCATCTATTAGTTTTTGTGCCAAAGCAGAAAAGCATTAGCCAAAAGTCTCAAAAGTTTCTGTGAAAGATACTTCTGTTGAAAAAGCAGAAATACAAGAGTTTGAGGGCAAGATTAACAAGAAAGGAAGGAAGGAAGAAAGGAAGGAAGAAAGAAAAGATTATCAAAATGATCATCAGATACAATGTTAAATAAAAACAGCAAAAAATCTCTTGGCAGAGTATAGTCTAAGTTAGGACATTAACAAATTTCCCTGGTGAAACTATAGGTTATTATCATTCCTTTTATTTTTCCATGCTTTCCAAATTTTCTACAAAAAGCATGAATTTATTTTAAAAAGCAAGAAAAGGTTTAAAAATGTAATAATATATCAAAAGACAAACTCTTTGGGGGAATGCTTACTTATAATTAATTTTTCTATTCACATCATTTGGAAATTAATGTCAAATTCTTACAATGATCAAGCCAAATAGGGTAATTGTACCCCCAAATAATTAATGTGATATGGGACTTTCTCAATTTACCAGATTTCCTCTCTCTCTTCCTTTGGGCTTTGAATCTCTACTTCCAAAATTGGTAGTTTAGACACATCTTTATATATATCTTTACAGATATTTTCACTTGTAATTAAATTAGTCGGTGCAGTTTTTCTCCCTACAGTAAAATGATTTAATTGTTCAAATTCTTGTGAAAGCTTCAAGACCTGTAAAGTGAGAAGACAAATATCCTATTTTGCATATTCTAATATATAATTATGAGAAAGTACATTCCATTAAATGCTTAAATAATTATTGACAAATAATATAAATTGACATCCTATTTGAAGTCTTCTTCTAATTTAACTTAACACTTTGGGGTTGTTATGTAATCTAATCCGTTTTTACCATAGGCATAAGAATGCATAAATCTGTGGTTTTAAAGAAGGGTATTTTTGGAGAAAGGGAGAGAGAGGGAGAGTGATAAAGCAAATGTGGTACCATACTAATACTGAAGGGGTGAAGGTACATGGAAATTCTTTGTACTATTTTTGCAACTTTTCTGTAAGTCTGAAATTATTTCAAAATAAAATGTTTTTTAAAAGAGAGAACAAGGGAGAGCCAGATTACCAGGATAGTGATCTGGACCTCTCATTTTTACATTATATTCCTGTTGCCTCAGTTCCTCTTCTGTGTTGTGCTGTCCAGTGATATTTCATAACACAAAATCCTTTAATTGTACAGTGTGATGATAACTCACTTTGCTGACGAGGTCCCACAAATAAAGCTTAGTTATAGGATGTGCCCCATGTATCCACCTTTCTAGGTAGCAAACCCATGTCCTGGATCTTTCCCTCCTTAGGTCACATACTATTTTGATCCATGTCCCAATCCCTCAACAACTTGTACCCTGCTTTCAGGATAACAACTTCAGAGAGGGTAAATGAGGCCTGGACTTAGTCCTCCATTTCACATGTGGTATGGAAATACAACCCAATATATTTTAATTGTGTGTTCAAGCCTTTACTCCTTCCTACCATTTTAATCAAGACCAAGAGTAACTGAGGAAGAGAATTTTCAGCCAGGAGTAGTTAATGATAAGTGGGACTCCAGGAATCACCCTGCAGGCAACCTCTCCATCTAACCCTGGTCTGGCAGCCATTTTTATACTTGGGGAACACATTAGGGTCAGGACATTTAAACATTTTCCTAATTCTAAGTATGAACCTAATTTTCAGTATAACTGAAAAAAAAATGCTTTGATTCAAAGGTTTAAGGATGAAGACATTTAAGTAAACTTTTGTTTGTCTTGAATTTTGGGGGTGGTGGTAAAATACACATAACATAAAATTTACCATCTTAGCCTTACACGCTTAAGTGTGCCGTTCAGTGGTATTAAATACATTTACATGGTTGTGTGACCATTACCATCATCTATCTCCAGAACTCTTTTCATCTTATAAAACACACTCTATACCTATTAAACAATAACTCCCCCTCGACCTCTCCCCCAGCCCCTGAAACTACCATTACACTTTTTGTCTTTATGATTTTGACTACTCTAAGTACCTCACATAATTGGAATCATATAGTATTGTGTTTTTGCGATTGGCTTATTTCATTTAGTATAATGTCCTCAAGATTCATCCATGTTGTAGCATATTGCAGGATTTCCCTCCTTTTTTAAGGCTGAATAACTTTCCATTGTGTGTACATGCCACAATTTGCTTATCTATTCATCCATCAATGAACACTTGGGTTACTTCCACATTTTAGCTATTGCGAATAATGCTGCTATGAAAATGGGTGTGCAAATTATCTCTTCAAGACCCTGCTTTCAATTGTTTTGGGCATATACCCAGAGAGTGGAATTGCTGGATCATTTGGTAGTTCTATTTTTAAGTAAACCTTTTACATTATAATATGTACTCCAAAAATTAAGCTGTTGGGAAACTGATTTAAAGTAAAAAATTCACAGAGTAATCCTAAGAGTGAAGTACTGGTTGAAGTCTATTCTGAGATGCAGCTTGGCTTATAACCTACACTAATGGCAATTTATTCTATAATAATAAAAGAAACCCCAATTTCCAAGTCATCTCTTTCTGAAAATTAATTTCCTTTTATCTTATCCTAATAAAAGATAAAATCAAACACTGAACATTTAAATAATTAATTCAGTCTCACCTTTGTTTCTAATTCAAAATTCTCTCTTTGTAGCAGGTTATATGCTATTAAAAAATAGTTTCTGTCTCTTGATGCCCCTGGAAGACTTTGAATCTCGTTATAAAGGCATCTAAGTTCTGACTTTGATTTTTGCAATCCCTGATTAAGAAATAGAGATATTTAGTAAAATAAAATAAGACTTTCTGCATAAAATGTATAATACTTTTAGAGAGGAATCTTTGAAATGACTCACATATTTTTTGTGTTTTAAATATTCCAACTTATTCTTCTGGCAGAACTACTTTTTAGGAATTAAAGTTTACTTAAATCAATTAATTAAACTGAGCATTCTTGGTTTCTATCACTCACTGGGCTTCTAGAGTCATTCCTACTTTCAGCAAGGCTTCTAGAGAGGTAAATTCTTCAGCAACTCCTGCATTAGTTATATTACCTGTTTTAACATGTATCTTTTTTAAAGTTACCTTTTACAGAACAACCATGCCTTTAATTTTGTGACAACCCCATGCAGCTGGGCTACTGAAACAGGCTCCGAGAGTGTAAGTGGCCTGCCTAAATTCACATAGCTAGGAAGTGGTAAAGCTGAGATTCAACTGTCTGACCAACTTCAAACTGTGTTCTTAACTACAAATTATGCTGCCTTACTTAATAATGTATATTCAGTGACTTAATCAACTAGGGTTTCCTCTAAGCCTCTGATTTTTCAGAGGCTATATATCCGTGAGAGCAAACACTTTAGTTATATGTAGATTCTTATCAAATTTCTACACTGATGACATGGAATATACAGTTTGGTTGGTGGACGACTGGGACCTGAGAATCTGTGGTGCCCTATGATGGGAACAGGTGATATGAAATTTACTTTAGGAGAGGAGTTACTTGGTATTTTCCCAAAGCCTTGAAATCAGAAGGGGAAGAGAGAGTTGATGAGGAAGGCGTTGGGCAAAAAGGAGAGAAAATAGAGAGTGGCCACCCAAAACCACAGGAAGAGGTCAACTGGTATCAGTTTCCTACCTCATTGCATTGAAAATTTCTATAGGTCATCAGGATGGGATTTGGGGCAATGCACTGGCTGTCACCCACCCTGCAAACTGATATAAGTGTCACCGTCCTCTAAATTGGTGATCTAGACTTCCATGGACTCACTTCCAGGTCTCTCTTCCAAATATAGGCTGGTTGTCTCCTGATAGATCTTTCCAAGATGGTAGGACAAGCAGTTAAAAGGAGAGACAAGTCCATGACTCTATGACCACCATAATAATCAAATACCTGCTACTTAAAGGCCCCTCTTTGCCTGGTGCTGGAACTCAGCTTGTGGAAAGGACACTCACCCCATTATTACTAACAGAAACACACATTCTATAGCTACGATTTATTTTAAAGTCAAACTAAATGGTAACATGAGATCCCTAAAGTAGGAATGCAAAAAGAGGGAAATAACATCCTAAGTGGCAAAATACCTCACTTTCAACTTTCAAAGTCTTCTGTATAATATTAAAATCAGATGTCAATTGCCTTCTGCTTTCTTCTGATGACTCACTTTCAAATATTTCAATTTTTTCTTGGCTCATTTTCAAAATCTGCAAAAAGCATTTTACATAATTAATTCTATATACTTTAATCATGTTTCTTATAAATTCTGATAATAATAATTTCCCATCTAACTCAATTATATAGTCATCTAGGGGAGATATGAAGCTGGGAAAAGTAATTCATGGTACCATAGCTCGTAAGAGACATTTTTCTCTCTGAGCCTGTTTCTCAACTGTAAAACGGAGCTGACACTTGTTCTAGATACATTATAACCATCAGAGTAGGAATGAAGTGAGATTTTGAATGTATTTTGTTGAGCACCTACCAAATATAAAGTCTTGTTAAAATCTTCCCAGATTAATTGATAATAATAATTGCAATAATAATGAGAGCAGCTACTAGTTAGTGCTTGCCATGTGTCAGACATCATGATACATGCTTTACTTGCATTATCTCATTTTGTTTTCCCAGGACCTCTACGAAATTGGAACTACTATATATATATATATATATATATATATATTTTTTTTTTTTTTTTTTTTACAGAGAAGGCGAGGCTCAGATATATTAGGTATTTTTCCCAAGATCACATAGCACTGGGATTCAAAATAAGTCCTTACTTTTAATATCTACTCTATTCAGACTTGCCAAAGTATATTTTCTCTTGTTACAAAAACCTATTAGGAAATTAAATTGAGGCCAAAATGAATTTGGTGGCTATAGACTGAGAACTGAGCCAATTCTCGTAATACTGTCATCAAGCTGCAGACCCTTCTTGACAGTCAGAGCACACCTGTTCAGTGAGCTAACTGCTCGTTTGTACCAGCCCGCCAGGGAGCAGCATGAAATTCATAGCTCTCTATTCTCCAACTTGGGAAACCAAGAATGATTCATGGGAAAAAAGTCTTACCGGTTTTGTTCTATTTACCAATAGTGGAAAACTGAGCCCGTTACTTAACTTAGGCTCAGTTTCGTCATCAGAAAAATAGGGATAATGATGCCTACGCACATGTAGGCAAATGCTCTGTAAATGGCAGTTTATGTTATTGGGTTCTGAATTTTCACATTTACTCAGTTGTGAGGCAATACCTTTAAACCATCCTTACAATTTCAACACACTAGTTTATCCAAAATACATTTTCAGTGGGCTCCTTCCTAACTGACTACTCCTGGGAAGGCTTTCTGTAACCACTGATCACAATCACAGGATATAGATTTACCACTCCTGGGGGTGTATTTTCTCTCTTTGCCTATATTCAGCTATTCTTAAGCATCCTTATGGAGTCTGCCTCACCTGTATTAGCAGCTTTCACTGAAAATTACCTTTTTATTTCTTAACTCATTCAAATCTTGTACTTGCACTGTCTCTTGACTTTTCATACAGGTTTCTCTGGTGTTTTCCTATATTACTGATAACTCGGGCTCTAAGAGGGAAATCTTAATCCAAATAAATCATCAGTTAAAATACATACATACATGTGTTATTCTAAAAAATACTGAAAAAATAAGCTATAGTTCTTAAGCGTCCTTCCCTGAAGCTACACCTTGAAAACTTTCCGTACCAACCAGTTTCACCTCTTGTCTGGTCTTGGATCCTTTGGAGAGTTGCTTTATTAAGTGTTTGAGCCCTCACTGCTGTTTGGCAGCTGAACCAAAGGAACCAAGTATTAGAAAAATACACTACAGGATCCTCATTGTCCTGATTTAAGCTGCTAATGTACCTTTTTTTTTCACTTTTGAAAAGTAACACTTTATTATAGATTGGCCCAGTAACAAAACTATATGCAAAAGAAGCTTCTGAGTATTTAGTTGTAATTTAGAAATAGAAGACACCAACACTGATATTACTTTTATTTAGAATTAGGTTTCAACAGAAACTTCAATTAAGTTTAGTTCAGAGACAAAAACATTCATTTACTTTAGCTGAAGAGGAAAGGGTTGAACCACCAAAGAGTTTTACCTAATTACATTTTGGAGAAAAGTATTCTGGGGCTTTGCTTGTCCTTCTGGATTCATAATTTACTGCCAGATATGTACTAAATTAACCAACAGGTTTTTCAAAAATTAATTTATTAGTTTAGTAAAGTCGATTATCAATAATTTACCCTTCTTGTGTTTAATATTCATAAAATAGGAAGAGATGGATTGGAAAGAATGGGACAGGCAACTGGCAAAATGGATGCTGAAACCACCCCGCCCAGTGTAACTTTTACAAATCCTCCTGTCTGGGGTATAGAAAAAAGACCTGGTTAAGAATCAAGTCGACTTCCTAGCAGCACTGGACAAGGATATAGGAAAAGGTATATTTTTTCCTCAGAGCAGCTTCTCCCCTTCACCAGCCCCCGCTTTGCCCTGATGAATGTTTCTGCATGTCCACACATGACATGCTGATGCATTCAGCACCCAAGGCAAGAATGTCCTTGGCTCCACCTTTATACCACCTGAGATGCCTCAGTGCAAAGTGCGAGAAACATTTCAACTCTTAAACATGAAAACTCCCCTCATTTCGTGTTTTCCTTTGTGTTTCTTCGTATAAGAATGTCATGTATTTTAATGCTATGACTTTTAAAAGATAGCTTTTCAAAAGAATATATATATATATGAAATTTAACATAATTTGCGGCATACTAAAAATGGTGATGCATTTACGCAATGTATGTCCTTCATGTACTTCATGGCGACCAAAGTTTAACACAGAAAAACAGAGCAGAGGGGCAGAGGGGCAGCGGATACTGTAAGGAATGAGCAGTGGGATAGAGAGAGCTCTGGGTAGCTGATGGGAGCCAACCTCACCTGTCAGGCGGCAGTAAGCAAAGGCAAGCACTACCAGACTCGCTAGGGAACTGCCTCATTGGCATGGGCTAACCACCAACGACTCTGGAGAAAGGTGTAACAGCTCAGAATTTTCCACTTTCAGTGTTCTACTACCCCAAAGGTGGGGATCGTCTCATGCTATGAAGCAAACTGTGCCTCCTGGGCACAGGATGACAAGTGCCACTGCCACCCCCACTACATGCCTGCGCGATGCTGGGCCCTCTCACAGACACAGGCCAGGGGACGGCAGGTGCGGGCACTGGGGAGGATGGATGCAATATGCCCAGTCATCACCTCCAGGTGGACACGATTTATGTGCTCAGTGTGGAGCATGTGGTAACCCCCATGAGGTATAATTAATCCCCTATATAACCCCCCCCATAAATCCTCGTAAGAGCTGACATGACGAGCACTGGGCGTTATATGCAACTAATGAACTGTTGAACACTACATCAAAAACTGATGTACTACATGTCGCCTAATTGAACATAAAAAAAGAGTTGATATGATGTACATAATCAGCTCTAAGTCCAGACAAACCTGGAACAACTCCTAGCTCTGCCTCTCACTTTGTTCCAGTCCCTTTAAGTTCTCTCAACTATGAAATGGGAATATCCTTACTTACCTTGGGGAGGGCTGTTACAGGGATTACTTGAGATTTATGTAAACAGATCATGGCATATGAGAGATGCTCAATATATTGTGGCTATAATTATTCCTTTTTTAATTTAATTTAACTTATTTATTTGACAAAGAGAGAGAGCACAAGCAGGGGGAGTGGCAGGCAGAGGGAGCTGAGCAGGGTGCCCTATGTGGGACTCCATCCCAGGACTCTGGGATCATGACCTGAGCCGAAGGCAGATGCTGAACCGACTGTGCCACCCAGGTGCCCCGGCTATTATCATTCCTATCAGACACCTAGCATTTCTTCTTTTTAAGCATTTTCTCTGAGAATATGCATGTTAGCAGCATTAAGATGGTCTAATTAATGGTAAATCTGTCTGCATATAGAAATGGGTAACAAATACAGGTCATTATCTTGAGGCGGCTGCACAATTTAAGGGATTGGTTTTCTAAATTATTTGTCCTTTTAAGGTCATCCCCTCCCATTTATTTTCAAACACATTCTTATGGGGAAACTGTCTACAGGGTGCCCAGAAACAGAGGCTTCTCTGGTTGATGTGGAGGCAGAAGACCTAGGACTCTGCATCTGTGGAACATCAAGGATCCTTGAAACACAGTTTGAAAATCATAGTGGCAAAAACATGGGTGTTGCAGTCAGTTGAAATTTGAAATCTTTACATTTATGAATTTGTGATCTTGGTTTCCTCGCCTATGCAGCAGGGTGAATGACACCTATCTCCCACAATTTTATGTTAACATTAAATGGGTTATATCAAACCCACAGCAGAGTCATTACAACATTGTGTAGGCACTGAAATCTTAGTTTCCATCGTCTTACTTCCTTTTTGTAGAGAACAGAAAGTAAAGTAGTAAGAGACCGGGAATGATGGCATGAGGCACCCACACACTCACATAAAAGCTGAAGATCCATGCCAAGGGGAGCATGGCCCTGCATCAAGATCTGAAACTCCTAACCTACTGATTACAGCACTCAGTTCACTCAATTCCACAGCTGAGAATGATTCTTTAGTTAATACTTAGTGATAATGGGGTGCCTGGGTGGCTCAGATGGTTAAGCGTCTGCCTTCGGTTCAGGTCATGATCCTGGGGTCCTGGGATTGAGCACCGCACCAGGCTCCCTGCTCAGCGGGGGGCCTGCTTCTCCCCCTCCCTCTGCTTCTCCCCCTGCTCATATTGTCTCCCTCTCTCTGTATCTCTGTGTCTCGAATGAATAAATAAAAAAACCTTTAAAAAAAAATACTTAGCGATATCACCATTGCCTGGCTGCTAAACTCGATCAAGAAAGCTTGAATCTTTTTCTTCACAGAAGATCAAGAGAGAACTTTGAAGGCAAAAATTTATTTAGTATTATTTTAGAAGTCCACACATATTGCAAGTCTTCATGACAAGATCAAGAAAACTGGTTTATACCACAGCCTAGAGGTTTGAGATTAGACAAAGAAAAATCTTCTGGTATTTAAAATTAAACATAAGAGGGATATGTATGATCTTTTCTGAACATGTTTTAAAATATGACATATACTCATTTATTCAGAATGTCATGGATGACATCTATCATAGAGGGAGGTGGATTAGCCAGTTACTCTAC